TTTATAAAGAAATTCTACAATACACAAATTCATTGAACTTCATTTGTTTATCAATTTTTTTGTATATTTTTTTGTTATATTTTTTATACCTTTTATAGTGTTTATAAATGTAATTAAAGCTTAATAAATTTAATTATTTTCCATTTTATGTTTTTCCTATACATTAATTGCACATTATTCTAACGGTGTATACATGATACATTCTTTATATTTATTTATTATTTATAGTTATTCAACTATTTGATTATTTTTTTACCGTAACCCGGCAGCGACGGGTAATTCAGCTAGTCTCAAATAATAGTCGTATTTGCCAACAAGGACCGAACGAGAAAACGGTACACACTTTTGAGTTAGAGATCTTAGTGGTTCGAATATCACAAAAGGTAGGGTTATGTTATAGATTTATACGGGGTTGTTTCTTGGGGTTGTCATCCGAGATGTCGCAGATGCGTAAATCTCTGTATATTTATTGTCTTTGTATATAAGTGTTATATAAAATTATACCTATGCCTTAAAATTATTGTATATCTTACAAAATAAAAGATACATTTGGGGGGGTTATAACCCTTAAAATATCCCCCTAGATAAGCCACTAGGTATACAGAGTAATTCAATAATTCATTATTGTTTCAATAAAAATACAATAATTTAAAAACAACGAAAAACTAATATTCGAAATTAATATTTTCATCGACATTTCAACGGACAGCTTATTTAATTAAAATTTTAAACTCTCCGAACAACTGTTATGAATACAATTGTATAATTTTTAAAGTACATTTAAAAAAAAAAATAAAGACCAAAATTCACAACGTGTAATTAAGCCTTTAATATAATAGAGTATACGTTTTTTCTGTCTGTGCTTAAAAACAATCGTGAATACAGTATATTATATGAAATTACACTATATACCACGTATCATGTATCATGTTTCACTACACACAACTATACTTAAAATCGGGAACTAATTCAATATTGAACTATGAAAGTCTGGAATGTAAAGCATTTATTATATTTGAATAAACTGTTTACAACACAATTCTTTTACTTTATCTCCGACCGCTCAAGTCCCTTTTTGTACCTTATAACAAATATTTTTTGTAGCCATAGATAACGTAGTTAATAATGTCAAGATTCTATGTGAATTATATATTTTACAGTTTAAATTATTGATTATTCTAGTTCTAAGTAGTTTTCATATTTTACTTTATGACATTGTACGGGTCGTGGCACTAGAATGACCAAAATTAAGTAATTTTTGTTGTTGTGCAATCGAAAATAAAATTCTGCTAAACATTGTCGTTACCTACTATAGTAATAGCAAATGTTTAAATGTTTTTTATTTGTAGTCTGAACTATTTGGGTAGCATGCGTATATCATGCACAGACCCTCGTAATCGAACAAATCATAACATTACATTTTACTTTTACACCGTTTGTCGATATTGTCAAATGTCGTAATTCGAACTTTTAAACAAAAACAAGAACAAACAATTTATGTTATTCTTAATTTAAGGATTTTTTACTTTTTTTTTGTTCATCGTACTATTAAAATGAAACAATACGAATTTTGTAGAATACATGCTACGTGAAAACATTTTGTTGAAGGTGACCGCCTATGGTTCAGGTTAACGTTTCTCGAAATATACCCGATTATCTGGACTTCGTATAACTGTTCAATACCGTACTACACGGGTGTATAACATTATAATGTATTTTCCTATCGATGAGTCGACGATGCCATTACGACAAACCGGTCTCTGAGTAAAACATACAATATTATAATATTTGTATCGCATTCACCAAAATAGAAACCGTAATCGTGCAATCGTTATTTAAGGTTATGATCGTGTAGGTTTTCGACGGAGCCGTGTATAAATTTTTGGCCAAAGACCGCAGTGAAATAGTGTCGGTAAATTATTATCTAACTTAACTCTATCTTAACTCGTAGCCGCCGCTCGTGTATCATACTTAGATTTGTATCTGTTCGAATTATAAAACGGATCATCGGCCGTCTAAATAGAATTACGTAGGACGGGGGAGCTTTTTTCTTGGAAAGCGTATTTTCCGGCCAAACCGATCCGTTTGGGTTAGGGATCGTTAAACGCCTACGTATACTCATAGAATGACATCGGTATAAATATACGCATATGTATCATAAATGTTTCATCGCCATCGATGGGTAATTCATCGAGACCGACAATTGTCCGATCGCGATGCCCCGACGAGTTTTACTTTTAACCGTACCGTCATCATAATCGATAAGAATTGCGCATAGACGGATACCACACGCATTGTTGTTTGCGATCTCAGCCGGAAAATCGCGTTCTGCACAGTAACGCACGATAAACGATAATGCGTGAGAACCACCACCACGGTCGCCGCCGTCTCGCGTAGGGTCGAATAATGTCCGGAAAACCGAACGCGTTACCAGCCTTCGTGTACCCTTGGTAGACGGAACGATCATTCCGATATGTTTACGTCCTCGTCTACGTCCTTAAAGTCCTTCAATTCGATATTGCAACGTGCACCTTTTGATCGATGTATAATCGTTTTTATCGATAAATTATTATTATTGTGATACGATTCGCGCAGCGCATGCGTCGGATCGTTTTTAAAACGTTTGCGCTTAAAACACGATAAAATTGTTTGTAATCCATTGTGCACGATAAAAAAATCAGTTGGTTTTCAATTTCAACGCGTAACGATGACGACGTACACGTGTCCCGATTAAGTATAAGTATGACGACCGCAACGGAGTTCATGAAAACAGTCCCGGCGCGTGTTCTGCGTGCACTGTAATACGAGTTAAGGTTCCTAGCTCATTGTTTCTACGACGACTACCGGTCGTCTGCGCCTCGCGGGTGTCGTGAAATTTCGACATTTCCGTGACGGGAAATTGAAAAAATAACCATAAAACTAAAACTTAATGCGTGAGATCATGTGTATTAGACAAATCTGTTCGGGCCGTTTTTTTCGGCCTGATCCGGCCTGAAACTTAAGTTTAAAAAATGCGATCAACGCGTGATTTAACAGCTTTTTATCGGTCGTCCCGATCGTATGATAAAATATGTGAATCGGAACCCGCGCTATTTACCGATTCAGGATTTTCAAACTGTCTATACCGGATCGTGTGCGACACCGTACAATCGATACAGGTATGCGCTGAATATGCACTGCCTGTTACGAAGGAATTACGTACGTACACGATGTGCAGATGAATCGACGCGCGTTGGACACACGTTAGGTGCGTTGCGTACTTAATGCGCCAGACCGTGAAAATCGAACACTTTCCCCGGTACAACAACGGAATGGTCATCACGTGGCGGTAACGACCGCGGATTTTACGGCTGGAAAACGGCATCGCGTTTGTTAATTTTATCGATGTGTCTCCGACCGTTTGTCCGCATTTCCGTCGAGTGTCGCGTCGTTTCGCGACCTCGACCGAGTGCAAAGTTCCAGTCGCACCTCCCCTGTTACGTGCGTTGATGGCCGGTCCAAGCTAGCTAGCGCCCCGGACAAACTTCGAGAAAAACGCCTTGTTACCGATGAAAAAAATGAACGCGACGATATTTATTTATTTATTAAATACGTTTCATGTTTATCGGTGTGAATTGTTACGATTTAAAAATCTGTTTTTCTCGTTTCGAGACGAGTTCATCGACAATACGCGAATGCATATGAACTCCCTCGTGCACTTTTCGTAATTTCATCGTCAACCAGACAAAACCTATATATATATAGTATACATAAGTATAATGGAAAAATTTCGTTTCGGAGGTAGAATATATGAATACGATGTATAGTCACGGGTCACGGGGAGCGATCGCGAAATCCGAACTCTGTGCCCGTCGTCGGATCCAAGTGCATCCGACGGCACCGCGTGTGCCGCGCGAACAAGACGGAGCCGCCCGCGTACGCCGACGGACGGTAGACAGGTGGACGCGACTGCGATCGTCGAATGGGGGGGGGGGGGAAAGAAAAAAAATAATAATAACAAAAAACGTATGCGCGCCGGTCGGCGCGAGTTCTCGTAAACGTGTGTCAGTACAACAGTTTGCGATGGGTTTGCGGAACACACGTCGGTGGTGGTGGTGGTGGTGGTGGTGGTGGTGGTGATGGTGGTAGGTCCGGCCGACCTTCTCCTCGGCGGCCGTCGCGTCGCTTCGTGCGCGAACGGCTACGGTGGTGGTGGTCGAGGGGCGGCCGGCGCGGAGAGAGAGAGCTCGGGTATGACTGGCGGCGGAGGGGGAGGACGGCGGATATTAGCGCGCGAAATAAAAAAAAATAAAAATAGAAAAAAAAAAAAAAACGGGGGTACGACGGACGGAGAGACGGTGTCCGTCGATCTTTCGCGGCGGTCGGCGGCTAAGTCTCCGCGCTCAGTCGTGTCGATCACTCCGTACGGCGCGAACCACACCGCGGTCGCGAGACCATAACGAACGACGCGCGATATTCGCACCGTTTCACGCAGTACAACACGTACGCGGTTTTCATTTGGATCGCGATAACGCGTTCGTCCGTCGCGCGCGTTCCCCGTCGGCCCGTTCGCGTAATACATTTTATTCCACGCGTCCGTGCGTGCGCGCGCGCCCGTGCGTGTGCCCCCGCTGCATGTGTGCACGCGCGTCGCCGTCGCCGTCGCAGTCCGGTGCGCCGCCGCTGCTGCCTGTTGTCGTCGTTGTACGACGACGTCTGCCGTGCTGCGTGCGTCGTTGTCGTTCGCGTGCGCCTCCACCCGGTTGACCTGGAATCGCGCGCGGTAAAAAAAAAAAAATTTTTTTTTTAAAAAAAAAAAAATCGCGTCGCACACACGGAGAGTACACGGACGACGCGGTGCGTGTGTACGCGGATAAACAAATACACCCGCAGGCACGCGATCAACGCCGGAGAGAGTATCACGTAATATTTTATAGGTAAATATGATAGCAATGTACAAAATATCGTAGCCGTACGACAGTGCGCGCCCGTCATTCGTCTCTCGTCCGTCGCCCGCAGCGTTTCGCGAATCGCGTCCGTAAACCGTGTTGGTACGTTCGCGGTGCGCCATCGTGTCTCGCCCGTAGATCGCGACGGCACTGCCGCGCCTACGATTCGGCGTGCCGCACGACCGAGGAGAAAAATCGACCGCGGTATTTTTATTTGCTCATTTCAATTCCTCCCCCGTTCGCGAAACTTCTTCGCGTGGTTCACCTTTTCGGCGAATCATCGCGTTCGACTCGCAGCCGTTTTGTACCGTCGTCGCACATCCCCTTACCCGTACGCGAACCGGTTTCCCAGGTACATTTTCTTCATCTTCTCGTGTCCGCAAACGGAAACGTTCCGTACGGTTCTCATTCTTTTATTTCATTTTTATTGCAAAACAGTCTTTCAGCGTATGCGTGCGCGCGTTTGACGGATACAAAATTGTTTTTTTTTTTCCGTCAAGTCGATTGGCCGTAACAGCGCACTCATCTCGACCGTTCCCATATGTTTCAATAAAGCAGCTGTTTTCTACGCGAATTTTTTTTTTTCCCCCCCGATACCGAATAATTTGTTGCACGGACCAGTCGTTCGCCAACGTGATTCGACCGACGATTTTTCGGTAAGTACGCGTGGTCCATACACTCGTAATCGTGTTCGCATTGTCACCTCGGAACGATTATTTTTATTTTTTTTTTATTTCACTTTATCAATTTTTTAAATATTCCGCCAAATTATGATTAAATATCACCAGTTTTCCTAAATTATTGAGTATATAGACTGCGCACAAGGTAAAAACATTTGAAAACCAAACATCTTAAAAATGTGTTCAATTCCACTGCTCGTAAACGACATTCTCGTACACATAGATTGTGTTTTAACTTAACTGCACCATTTCTACGTCATCTGTTCACGAGTAGATTAGTTCGCAATTATATATTATTATATTAATATTCGCGATATCTCTTACAATTGTATGAATCAATAATACGTAAACAACGCGAAAAAAAGTTACTTTTAAATTCGATACCACAACTATAATTGATATACCGGTTAATGTCGTCCGACGTAGGAGGTAAAAATTAATTCGCACCGAAAAAAACGTTTGTGTGTAATGCATGTATTATATGTAGTCCATGGAAATATAAATGTAAAAAATATTCTAAATTATAAAAGCAGTCCACCGAGTATACGCGCAATAATATTGTAAACGTATGAACTCAAGCGATTATCCGCGGATAAAGCATCAGTATCGTCATCGTCATCACCGAAACCCGTTGAAATTCGATGTATTTTTTTTTTTTTCCAAACATTTGTCATCCGGTTTCCGCTCATTACGTACAACGCCACTTGTATAATCGATGTTTATAGTTTCGATTGCGTACACTTTTCGCGACAGTACTGCCGCGGTCCCGCGCGCATCGATGTATACCGAATAAACCGAATATTTCACGTGCACAATACGGTGTACCGTAGATGTAATCGGACCAGACGTACCCGCGACGTAGTGTTATTGCTGCTTGCCTTGCGCACCGCATTCGATATTATTGTACGCGCGTCAGCACCGACGCGGGGTCTCGTCGTCAAGTTCAAGGCGCTAATAAAATGTGTAGAGAAAATACATATTATTCTACATTTATAATACTGTTACGCGAAACGGATGCTGTTTATTCGGTTGGTGTCGGCTAGTGCAGGGGACGACGGCGTTGGAAAAAAAAAAAAAAAACCGTCGATCGAACGCCACGGCATCGCGTCGTAAAACAACTATGTGTACAACCCGTAATGGTTGTGCACTACAATGTTTAATAAATATTTAATAAATTATTCGCGTCGACGGCAACGGCAACCTTGAGGTCGGTTCAAGTTTATTGTTACGGATCCGGCGGTGCAGCCACACGTACGCACAGGCCGGCGGCGTAAAAATCTTTTTTTTACGCGTGCGCGGCGCCGAAATTCAAGTCTGGCCGACGCCCGCGGGGCGCGTCCGTACGTTTAAAAACGTTTCGCGGAGAAAACAGAAACGAACGCCAAAGCCGTTTGTTCGGCACCGCGATAATAATGCGTTTTGCCCGCCGATATTCTATTTCCGTACGGCGTTGGAAAACGCGTGTTGCCCGTGTACGCGGCACGAAGAATCGAATTCTGAAATCGATTTCGTCGGGTTTGTGCTCGACTGCCGGCGAAGGAACCGAAACATCGAGCTCCGCTCGAACGGTCAACTTTCACGCGCTCAAACTTCCGATCGGAACGCGTAACATTATTCCGTTTCGTTTACCCGTCGAACACGCAGCGTCCGGACGCACTCGTGTTTTCGCTGGGCCGTCGAGCAATACGTATACACGCCGGATTACCTTTAATTTTCCGATCAGCAATGAACATCTTCGCATTTACACGTGACTACGTCCGGATCAACGGGCGCGTTACGGTTTCGGGTCCTCAGACAGGGTGACCATATTAAGAAAATAAAAAAAAACGGGACAGCCGTTACTTCCCCCCTCCCCGAATAAAGAAACTCATCCATATACATTCACGCGCATGCACACAAATCTCGAGAGTTCAAGTCCAAACCTCTGTCGTATCGTAAACAATTATTTTCTTTTAATTATTATTAAATTATCAAATCGGCAATGTTATAGTTCGTCGGCATCGGGACTTGACGCTCGTTCCACGAACATTTTTATCTGTTATTATTAACTTTGGTTTCACGTTTTAAATGTACGGGTGAAAAGTTTTATGTTTTTTCATACATAGATATTTTATTTGCAAGCATTAATAACTTATATAACAAATACTATGGCGATAACGGGATTAAAACGAGACAATCTTCTAAAAAACGGGATAAAAAGCGTCCCATTCGAAGTTTGTCGGGACAACGGGACCGTGATGATCAAAAAATTGACAATCCCGTTTTAAACGGGACGTCTGGTCACCCTATTCTAAGATTCGGTTTTCGTCGTTTTAACCGGGCGTCGACGTTCGTTCGGTCCGCGTGCCTCGAATCCGCTGCAACTTATTTCGCGGTGCTCGCTGTCGCCTCCACGTTTCGATTTCGTTTCGTTTGAAGAGAGAAAAAAATTTCACGATAAAATCAACAATAAGCGATAAAACGTTCACGAACACCGCGTTGTAGAGCGCATCTCCGAGGTTCCTCGAGATTGCAATGGTAATGTCCCGCATACTCGCGTGACCGCATACCGCTAATATGGTACCGTAACAACACCACCGGACGTCGGTTAACGAGTGATTATCGCCGACATTGCTATTATCACCCGGTAGCAAGTAATAACCGTCGTTATTACCGTCGTACGCTGGTAACGTATCCGTTATGCAATCGTTTCAGTGAAATATTTACGATACCATAGCGGTTCGACGTGTTTTTCATTTTCATTTTCCCACCCCTCTCCAACGGTGGAACGTGCGTTTTTTGGAAAATTTGGATCTCATGCATATTAACGTATTATTATTTAGGTACCATCACTTCGCGGACGCTGCTGTAGATTTTTTTTTTTTATTCGATTCTTGTTTCAACGCTAGTTATCCTTGATATTTTTCATTTTTCATTTTTTTTTTCTGTTCGCCAGTGTATTATTATTTTACTAAATATTTTGTTTTATTTTTTTACGATATTTTATATTACAACGCATGGAATTTAAATACATTTGTACCTGCGCACGGTTCGCACAGAAGCTCGATTAGATAATATAACTCACTGCAGTGCGTACACGTTATTAACATTTCAAATTGCCATTTTTCGTTATTGTTCTTCGATTCTCATCGTTAGGGTATGGATGGTTCAATGTTAATTTTATCGCAACGCTTTTAAATTAGCATAGTTTTGTGATTTTTTTTTTTTATTCTAAAAACACGTTTAATTTAATATACCGAGTGCATATACGAGCCGTATTATTTTTTAACGCTCCGTGTTATTGATTTTTATATTATTGTATTGTGTTTCGTGTTCTAGAATAATCAACTTACCGGTCGTTGTGTTCGAGCTGAAATCACAATAAAATAATACAGTCGTATATCAATATTTTATTATTCCGTGAGCGTTGTTTAGATTTTCTAAACGAATTTTTGTGTACAGCTCATCAATGTTAACATTCAGTTTTATGCGCTGTGTTCGATAGTAAAATATAAAAAAAAAAATTCACCACGAAAACGTAGATACTTCATACAGATATTTTGTACTTGCCAAAAATGTTTTGTATTTAATTTTGTTGGAATATAAAAATGTCATTTTTTAAATTGTTTTATTGTTAACGTCTGCATAATCCGCTTTTATGTTAAATATTTTATCGATTGATTTTCATACTTTGTCACCGAAATCATATTGTATGCACTCAGTCACGTGATCAAATGATATATTCAATGAACAATATTTTATTCTATAAGAATACACTGTTGTATTACGAAACCGGCAGTCTCTTTATTTAGTGTGACATATTTATTAGATGTACATTTACACGCGTCTATATTATACAGCTACGACGATTATTTTAGAAAGCAGTTTTCATAGCCGTCGGGTTCAATTTCTTAACCTTGTTTCACATAAATTATTCGAAAGATATACCGTGTTTGCAAACAAATGATCAAAACCGATGATGGTTTTGAATTGCGTTTTTACAGGAATATAAAAAAAATATTAATAACAAATTCATTTTTCGCTTAGAAATATTTAGGTCGGAAGTTAAACTTCTCAACTAGGCACGACCAACGGTAGTATGTAATTGGTAACAAGCCATACGGTTTAGCGAACGTCGCATTGCCGTTCATAAATCGCAACTACGGTTGTGCTGCACACCTTTAAAGCGCTGGTTTATTTATTGTTGTACACACACGGTATGCGTTTCAACGTTTCGATATTTTACAGCGCGCGCGCGCGGAATTCTATACAACCCGTCTTTTTTTCTGCCTATCATTATCGTTATTATTATTCATAAAAACATCAGTAATTATTTATAAAATAATATTATATACCTATACTTGCCACAAGAATGCGGCACGCGGCGTACTTGTATAGGCTCTGTCCGCGTACACGACGACAAAGAATCGATGTAGTAAAACTGCGTTTCTATACAATGGCGATTGGCTTGGATGGGGGATGAGGAGTCGGACGAAAAACGATTTGTTTGAATCTTGCACCGACCAACAGAATTTTACACGCAAGAGACAGTCTGCGTTACGAAGACGTATAATACAGATAGGTAGGCACAAGCGTATTACATTGTCGAGACATTTTCGCGGTTTTCTACACACTTTTTCCGCAGCAAATATGCGTATAGTATACAAAATGTAGTGTTCATCGACGTCAATACGGTGTCCTCCGCTTGATCTCAATCAATTATTAGTAATAATAATTACTTCACTTACAGTTGAAAATGATACACACCATTCGATTAGTTAAATATTTTGGCCAATATAAGTAACAGTACACCCACTTAACAGTGGCGCTCGTAAAAATGCTTTCAACTCGAAAGTGAATTTAAAAAAAAAAAAATTTCAAAAAAAAAAAACACTTACAACCTAAAACAGTTAAAACACGATATTTTCGATTTTTTTAACGTTTTATTTTCGCGGTTACCCCGCCGATAAATTGCATCTGAACTCGACTTGTGCTTG